TTTATAATAAAATGCACACATTTACCTTTTTCTAGACTAAACACAGGTAGATCCTCAGTTGAAAAAATATGAGGTTATCATGAGCAGTGGCGAGCCGTGAGCTTTATACCTAGGCCCTCTGACCCCCACCCCTTTCCTCGAAAAAAAGAAAAAAAAAGAGTTATTACGTCACAGCGTATACTTCAGCGGAATATCAAAACAACGGCCCAGGGTGCAAAACGCATCAATGACAGCGACCCTCTACCACACAAAACAACACCTGTGAACCCAATTTGTGTTCTTTGACATTGAAAATGATATTGCATTGTGTTTGTTACTTTCGTTGCAGTTGTATGTCTTAAATGTAATTTGGCATGCTTTTATTTTGAAGGCGAGTTCACGCTGTTGACAGGAAGTTGTTGTTGCTATGGAAACAAGAAACGTTTCACAGCGGGCGGAACTCGTCATAAAGTCCGCGATAATAAAACCCACCCATTTAGAGGGAAGATATGATTGGTCAATTGTTGTGTCATTTGACATTACTCTCTCGTTCAGTTACTATAGCGGGCCCTCTGTGAATCGCATACCCCTTTCACACCAGCGCTTTTCCAGCTCCTGCTGGGAGCTAGAGCCTGAAAAGCGCCGGTTTTTCCTGTTCACACCGCAGCGGCGGCGCGTCATAGCTCCGGAATGCGGTTCACTTCCAGCTCCAAAAAATTGTCGGTCCAGAGGCAAGAGCTTCGGAGCTATGACGCGGCGTCGCTTACGTCTCTTACGTCGAGGCGTGCGGGAAACCTTACTTTGACCATCCGTTCGCTGTTATTGATCATTGTGGAGATACATGGGCTATACAGGTTGTCATGTCCGACTATCAGAAGTAGAATCATAATGAAAAATACGCCGGTAAAATGTGCCTATAGAAAACGGCTTAGCAAGTAGTCAGTTTAGCTTCGGTTGCTATGCTAACATCACCCATGTTATACCAGAGAAACTTTCATAACAGCGTTGTGATGCCAAACAGCGTCAATTCAGACTGACACACATTCACTTAAGGGGAACTGGGGATATGTATCAGCTGCTTGTGTGACAGTCAGACAGTGAATACTTTAGAGCCGTGTGAGCTAACCCGGAGCTAACGGGAGAATAAACTCCCGTGGAAGAGCAGCCAGCACTGCAGCGGTCGCTAAATGCCGCTGAAACACATTAATAAACAATGAACCACGGCACTCTGGAGAAAAGTATAAGGTTGGAGAAGTCGTTATTTAATTTAAGCTGGCTTCGTATGATTAAAAGCAACACGATCATCGACCCGACGCAGTCCCCGGCCCGTTGTTGTTGTGGGAGAAAATCAGCGACGTAAACTATGACGCAGCAGCGGCAGCTCTGGGCAGTGTGAACAGAGCGGGAGCTGAAAAGGGAAACGGGAGCTGAACCAGAAAAGCTCTCGCGAGGAGCTAGAAAGTGAAAAGCGCCGGTGTAGGTACCATATGTGTTCGGCCTACCAGATGTGTTCGGGGTCCGTTACGCTTACCAATGACGTCACGCATTGGCTGTACGGTAACCCAAGAGGACATTTTACACGGTCAAATTCCGAATGTATTGAAACTCCAGACTCAACGTAAGAGCTTGAGCCTCTTCGGGGGGTGCTAACATTTAAACATACACTTCATTCTTTACTTTGTCCGTTATTATATGTAGAAGATATTACTTTTTTCTCCGTCATGTTGTTTCCATAGCAACAACTTCAAAATAAATAAATCTAAATAGATGTGTGTTCTACACACCAAAATACGTTATTTGAACACCCCTCTCGATCGATTTACAACAAAAAAAAATAGTATGGCCCGCCCTAATACACCAACGCAGTTTTTAAAGATATACATTTTTCAACACAGAATCATTTACCAAATTACACTATATCCAATCATTTTACGAGTCAGAAAATGCTATATGTTCATTGCAGTTATTGTTTATTGAATTAGATTACCATGAGCTCAACATAATTATGGAGAGTAGGCCTACAAGTCCACAGCCAAGAAAATGTTATTTGCATTTCATTTTATTTATGAATATGGAATTATGGAATTCTAACACTGGAGTTTGTTATTATTTACTATAACTTTATTATAGTATTCGGGTACAGCCCTACTGTACCCGAATATCCGTTCGTTGGTGTACTATTTCGGGTTTCAATTTCGTTATTCGGATATTCGTTTTGTTTGTTTTTTCCCCGTTTTTTTTCAAATTGAATTTATTGAAATCTCCAATATCAACGTAAGAGCTTGTGCCTCTTCGGGGGGTGCTAACACTTAACCATAAACGTTATCGTTTACTTTCTCCGTATTTATATGTAGATATTACTTTTCTCCGTTAAACTCTGTCACGTTGTTTCCAAAGCAACAACAACTTCCTGTCAACTGCGCTAACTCTCCTTCAAAATAAAAGCATGTCCATACCGTACAGCCAATCACAATGCGTGACGTCATTGGTAAGCGACGGACCCCGAACACATATGGTAGGCCGAACACATATGGTACTGACACCGGTGTGAAAGCCGCAGCAGAGAGGCCCGCTATAGTAACTGACATTCAAACAGAGACTGAACAGGCAGATTCGAAGGATTTATTTCTTTGGAAATGTTATTTTATTAAATCAAGTTTTTTTTCGGTAAAACTAATGAAAAATATAACAAAAATAATATTAAAAAAATATATATTTAAAAAAAATATATATATTTTTAATGTTTTTAAATATTATTTTTTGGAATATCTTAGGCCCTCACAGAGGGCCTAGAGGGCCCTGACGGCTCGCCACTGATCATGAGGTTGTTAACATCGCAGTTTATCAGTGGATGTTTGCTGGAAGCACAATAACTGCATGTTTTGCATTGCTTTTACATTTCAGTTAATATAGTGGTGAGAGACTCCCGATACATTAGATTTATAAGTTCATTAATTGTCTCATGATGCATATTTCCCAGTGAGCATGAAGCTTTTCAGAGTGGGGTTTTTCTCAGCTACGAGTTATTTTGGAAATTGCTCTCCTTATCCGCATGCCCCCTGATTGCTAGGCCCTGTCGGGTTAGAAACTGCAGACAGCGCAGTTGCTCCATCATTCCATCTCTTCTTTTTTCCTGCTCAATACGCTGTTGTTTGACAAGCTGTATGTTGACTGGTGTTTGACTGAAGAAAGCGCACTTTTTTTTAATACACTCTCTGTGGAAATTAGACTTTTCGTGGCTGTCCAGGAGGCTTGGGCACTTTTTCCAGTTATTAACTCCGATATTAACAATCATCTCCACATTTTGAGAAAGTTACAAGCCGTTTGACAGCAGCAAATCTGCATATTTCACAGAAGGCCCGTTTAGTGGTTTTGCAAAGAATTAACCACTCTCTGTTTTTGTACCATTCTGCGTTGAAGTACCTTTCTCTTTGCCCAGACGATCTAGCGGTCAGTTAGCTGCAGCTTTACCCGTCTCAATGTCCCGACAACAAACCTCCATGCAGTCGGAACCAGCCTGTTTCGGTTCAACGACGGCGGTGGCGGCGGTTTTGACAGTCTCTGCGGCCGCAGAGCTGCTGCTTTTGGGTTCATCTGGCTTCGCTGTTTCTATGATTGATGAAGGTCCAGGCTCCGGAGACGTGGATGTCAGGGATGTGACCTTCCAGTTTAAGTTTAGATTGACTGTATAGTTTTCTTCTGCGCTGGTTCTTCTGACGTGTTTGCAAGTGTATATTTTTTCTATCTAGGTTAACGGCTGACACACACAGAACAACGTAACAAATAAAGTAAACAACGTAACGAATAAACAAATCTAAGCTTTTTTATTGGTTGTAATTTACATGGATACATTTGAATGGTGTGACAATGTCCTATTTGATTGGGTTAAAATGTACATATTCTTCCTGTTATGTCTGCCTGCTTTATTTTACCTAATGCAAAGTGACCTGCTCCATCGAAATCAGTCGCATTGACCCGAAGACACATTTTGAGTTGTATACACTGTTGGAAAGAGGAGATTCATAACTTTCTAATGATATCAGGATTGTTGTTGTACGCTACTCCAAATATTAAGCAAAATATGTCACATTATATAATGACTGTCACAGAGTCATCATTTTGAGAAAAAGGCCTTTAAAGTTTCCTCTTCTCTGGATCGATCTGATTGATTATTAGCGGAGCAAATGATCAAAATAGTACGAAGGGAAGATAGGGGAAGCCCGCGAGTGTGTGTGTGTATACGTGTGTGTTTGTGTATTTTTGCGTTTGTGTGTGTTGTGTTTGTTTCCCCGGGAAAACACTCACGAGAAACACCGGCTGTTATGCCTGCAGTGACGTAAAGTTACTCCGTTGCTTGTAATTATGCCGCTACAAGCTTCAAAGTTGTATTTATCATCTGAATTTGCCAAAACAAGTTTAATATTCTGAAAGCCAAGACTTTGTTTATTTGAAATCAGATAAACACAAACTGTAACGGACCCTGCCGTGTTATCTATGATTACTATACGCCTTACAATCATAATTTCAGCAGAGGGAGGGGAAGCGGCGCTGTGGAATAGCAGAGTGGCGAGTGAAAGCTTTACAAGCTTCAAAAATGCCTGTAGCTAATGAGATTGAATATAACAATCAAACATAACAAAATATACACAGCTATATCAGATCGCGTTTTAGATGCGACTTTAGAGTAGAGGGGAATTATTGAAACGGGATTTGTACAGTGTTCCACGGCATCCGCCGCTGCGAAAATGTGGGGCAGGGCTGAAAAGTGGGGGGGCCAATGGCCCCCTGGCCCCCCCGCTTCCGGCGCCCTTGGTACTGGGGTATAAAAATAAAATAGTATAAATACTCAAGTACAATTACATCAACATTTTGAACATATTATTAAGGTTGGTGAAAAACAGTAAATAAAGTCCTCCTGATTCATTATAACAGGACGTGTTAATATCAGGTTAATATGAATAATGATTATTATGATGTGTTCTCTTTTGGTCTGATTGGGCTTCCAGTACGGAGTTTCACGTCAAAAACGTTTCGACCAATCAGCTCGTCTTCGCCAGCACCGGAAGTTGTCATCTTTCGACGTCCTTGTTTTGTGAAGGCACAGACTGAGCAGCTTCTCTGGGGCTGTGTGCGAGATTAACGAGATGAAACACAACTCTAACGTCCCTGCTTTCCTCACCAAGCTGTGGACGCTGGTGGAGGATGCAGACACCAACGAGTTTATCTGCTGGAGTCAGGTAACGACCAACCGCTAGCAGCTAGCTGTTAAAGCTAATGTTAGCTAGCCACTGAGGTTAGCCGCAAATGTAGCATCTCAAACACCACGCTGATAACAATGGCCTCTTGCTGAAGCTAACATCTACTGTTAACGTTTTCTGATCGTCAGCTAGCATACGGAGTCAAGTCAAATGTGTGCGTCATGCCAACACAGTAATGTGTGTGTGTGTGTGTGTGTGTGTGTGTGTGTGTGTGTGTGTGTGTGTGTGTGTGTGTGTGTGTGTGTGTGTGTGTGTGTGTGTGTGTGTGTGTGTGTGTGTGTGTGTGTGTGTGTGTGTAGGAGGGCAACAGTTTTCTGGTGTTGGACGAGCAGCACTTTGCCAAGGAGATCCTCCCCAAGTTCTTCAAGCACAACAACATGGCCAGCTTCATCAGGCAGCTGAACATGTGTAAGCCTGTAATCATTTGCAAACCAACTAGACAGAAGTGTCTGTTTTTAGATGATCCTGTGAATGTAGTACCTGAAGGAGAAGTCTAATGACTACATACAGATAATAAATGTTACCATGTAATTCCATGTGCTTCAAAGCACTTGCAGTTATTGTTGAAAGTAAGACCAGTTTTGGTTGTAATGTTGCAATATACTAAACTTTGTTATTTTATTTGTAGACAAAAAGCATCTGGGAGACCAAGTAAAAGACAATAAAAGAGTCCCATGAAAACTGCTCTACATTATCATGAGAGTACCCAGATACCTCAACACATTTCAATGTTTATTTATATATATTTTTATTTATTTACCCCCACTCTGTTTATGTGTGCGCGCAGATGGATTTCGCAAAGTGATGCACATTGACACAGGCATTGTGAAACAGGAGAGAGACGGTCCGGTGGAGTTTCAGCACCCCCACTTCAAACATGGCCAGGACAGCCTGCTGGAGAACATCAAGAGGAAGGTCACTAACTCACTTGTTTGATTGTTAGTGTGTACATTTGATTGTAACTAGGGATGCACCCATGTTAAAGTACCCAGCCGGTATTTTGCTGTTTCTTTTTATGTTGGTTTCTTTTCCTTTTTTACAAATACATATTTTTTATTTAAAAAAAAAAAGCCATCATCAAACTAACTCTGAATGAGCAAAAATTAATTGAGCCTGCTAAACTCCTATCTGCTCAATGAGAAGACTATCATTATTTATATATATAATTATAGTCATAATCCATTATTACCAGTTAAAGACACATTTAACTAGAAAATGCATTTCCTGCAGAAAATGCGTGCGAATGCTGTAAACTGTGAACCTTTGTGGCTGAATTTAGCTGAAAATGCAGAAAAAGCTGAATATGTTATTAGCTGAATGGTAGCTGCTTCTAGCTACAAAAATGCAGAAAAAGCTTAATATTTAAAAGAAAAGGTTTAAAAAAAAAAAAGGTATAAACATGTATAGCCTTGATGTCCTGAAATAGCTGAATAATGTAATAGTTGAATGGTTTCTGCAGCTGAAAATAGGCTGAAGGAGTTACATATCAGATGTAAGTAGCAGTGAATGAATTTGTATTAGGAAGAGAAAAGAAAGTAAAAAGGCTTGGGAAAGCAGCAGAATATTTTGACTGCAAACTTTTCGACTAAAACCATACGTCACCAATAATGTATAAAATATGTGGAACCTGTTGAAGTCAGTATGAAGTCTCCATCAGACAGAAAAGAATAGGCTGAGACAGTCTGTTAAAGTCCAGTCTGTCAGTGTTTGTTTCTTCCTGAGCACCTACTCATAACACCCAATCATAACAACTGTGTGTGTGTGTCCAGAGATCAAAGGTTTCCATGGTGTCTGTTCTGATTAGATGATGTCACTCAGGTGTGTGTGTGGCTCCAATCTGCCCAGCAACACCATGACAACCAACTGCAGCACTGAGTCCCATAAGAATGCATTGAGAAGTATATCTAACAATTTTGCCACCTGTTCAAAAACGATGGCTCCTATACAGTGGCGGCGCCAGGGTATGGCTGGGGTAGGCTACAGCCATACCAAGAAATGGCTTAGCCCCACCTTAGCCCCACCATGAAAAGTGATGCAAATTCAATTAAATAATAAGCGAAATGCTAAATGTTGAGAACACGGATTGCGAAAATATACGGGTCGTGTCCACAGCACACAAACTGATCCTGCTGTAACAACAAGTGCACGTTACTGATGCAATATGGTTGAGACCATTTGGGCTTATGCTATAAGAGGGGTGCAAGGAATAGTCTAAGTAGTGGGGGAGTTTTATACACTAAAGGTGTGGAAATTCTCTGGCGTTATATCAGCGCGGCCGCGGTCAGATCAAAATGCCTCCGAATGCAATTTGAATAGACCTACAGCCAATCAGAGCAACGAAACGTTGGGTCTGCGTCATGCCTTACTGATTGAGATCAATCGAAACTGCCATTCAGTATCCCCATTGGATCTTCAACGTGTACTATCATACGTCACGTTCACAGTGATCCCTTTTTATTTACTATGAGACAAATGTGCCGTTTTATTTCATACAGTTCCATTTTGATTGAGACAGGGAAATAATCTAAACCTCACGCGTGGTGTTTCACGGGGGCCGATATAGCGTGTATGTAATTACATTGCAAATACTGACTTGAGCACCACCACTGTATGGGTTAGCCCTACCATAGATTACCCAACAAAAATGCTCTGGCGCCGCCACTGCTCCTATAAAAAAATGACCAGACCGTGAGCATCAGGGAACCCCAATGAACTGATATATGGTTTTTTTGGGGTGTCAAATGTGAAGATGGGAGCAGTTTGTCTAAAGTTGACTTCTCTCTGTTCTGAAGAAAGTTCCGGTCAAATTTAACATGGGAGTCTATTGGGAGCTAGGTGGACTTTTTGTCACTCTGATCACTATTGGGCCAGAACGGTGTGTCCGTTTGATATGATGAAGGCAATTGAGCAGGCCAGACTAATAATGCTCCTGAAATCTTTTGAAATTATTTGAATAGATTGTATATTTTGGCTCTGAGAGCAGTTTTAAAATATTTTTTCCAAAGATTTTTAAGACCCTCTACACCAGGGCTATTCAATTAGTTTGGAATGGGGGCCGGTTGATGAAAATGATCCAAAGCAAGGGGCCGGGAAAAAGATGGCTTGAAATATGAGCAATCATATTTAAGAGCTTCAGATACAGTAAATACTACAACAGCATAGTGGAGTGCATATATTGTGTTTAATTCAATCAAACAACATAGCTCCAAGGCCTTTATAGATCTAAATGGCAAGTTCAGAACTCAGTAGGCCTACATGTTTCATTTGATTTCATTTAGGTGAAATGATCTAATCATTCACGCAGAGATGCAATCAATGACAGGAGTTGTCACTACAGTATAGTAGGTGGGTTCGAAACCCGAGCCCGTCGAAGTTTTCAGGCATTGTCTACCCCTCTATCTCTCAATGTAACACCCTCTCTGGAATAAAGGCACTATGGCACAAAAAAAAAAAAAAAATCTTAAAAAAAAAAAATTGATTACTTTTTAACATTATACTCAAAGGGCCAGTAAATATCACCCCGGGGCCGGATTTGGCCCGCGGGCCGCCAATTGAATAGCCCTGCTCTACACTCTAAGTGATGATGTCACGCACTAAAAAAAAACATAAAACAGCATTTACCAAAACTTAAACGTTGATAAGTCAAAAACCGTAAAAGATATCAAAAATCTGAATAAGATTTGAATAGCTGAAGGTCTTGTGATCATTTGAAAGTTGGAATAAAGTGTCTAGCTGAAAGTATGTGGAAGGAGTAGCATTTGGCGCAAAGTGTAGGAAAAGAGGATTTGAAGGCATCTCCCATTGACTTCAATGTTTAAAAAAAGACTTTAAAAAGCTGAATATTTCAAAAAGTATAACATATTTTTAAAAAGTTGAAGGTTTCCCATCGATTCCTGAACAGGCTGAATAGTTTGATATTTGAATTGTTTCTGTAGCTGAAAGTAAGTTGAAGTTATGGAGAGCCAAAGTATGGTTGAAATAATAATAATAATAATAAGGGGAAGAATAAAGAATTGAAGTACTATAGTGGAATGCTGTGGCACAGCATGCGCACTAATAACATTAAATTGACATTCATTCTAATGAGTTGTTTAATAGAAAATATAGCGAACAAGCTTTTAGTTATACGAATGGAAAATACAGATGAACAGAGGCCATGCTCACTTTTCATGTCAGCAGACATATTTCCCTCAGCAGATGAGAGACTTGTATCCAGCAGTGACAGAGGAGGTCACGTGACTGCAGTCAATTTATGTATACACAGCCAAATGAACAATGTCTTTTTACTAAATGAGTTTTTGTTTGTTTGCCTTGGACAAACGACTCTCAGTTGTTAGTTTATCTCAGACTGATTTCTCCCAGGGAAGTGATCAAGAGTCCAGAAGACTCTGAACGCAGGATTTCATTTGCAATAACAACAAAAGTTTCTACACGGTGCAGAAATCCTGCAGCTGCCTGGCAGATCTGCGTAGAGCGGGGGGGGAGAACTGCACCGCCAATGACATTAAAGATTCTGCAGATCACTCTTAGTCAGACTGTAGATTATGCCTTTAGTCCTCTTCTACAGTGCCAAGTCACACACAGCCCAGCAAAATGTATAACCATTAGCGAATGTCACCTTTTTTACCGATGTGCTGACGGCAGTAAGTAGGGCGAACATTGGCCGATGCATCGTGCATGCCTGAATATAACTGCTGTCTTACAGGTTTCCAACACTCGGCCAGAAGACAACAAGATCCGACAGGAAGACCTGACCAAAATCTTGGCGAGTGTTCACAGTGTCCACAGCGAGCAGGAGAGCATCGACCTCAGGCTGGCAACACTCAAAAGGTGAGAGTGAAGCTCTTTGCAGCTCATTCCTGCTTCAGCTCTGAATATTGTCATTTATTTAACATCAGAATGAAGCTGCGGTAGCACTTAACGTGGATGAAACTGAAGTGTTGTGTTGTATAGGGAGAATGAAGCTCTGTGGAGGGAGATCGCAGATCTGAGGAAGATACATGCCCACCAACAGCAGCTCATCAAAAAGGTGAGCACTCACTTATTTTCAGTCACAGTTGTTCATGTTGCATCCTTCACAGGAGAGCCATGTTATCTTTAGCTCTGTGTTCAGAAACTCCAGCAGCAGTATGTTCTGATTAAGGCAGTGTTAAAGTATGAGCAGCTTGGGGATGATATTAGAAATGTATGTTTTATACAGCAGCGTCATGCTAACATGTTTTTGGTATTACATGTATTACATGTATTTGTTCAGAGAAGGTAATGTAATGCACCTACAACAAGCAGCTTTTCTAATCATCACTGACTACTGCAAATGTGTTTTCTTTCAGCTGATACACTTCATCGTCACATTGGTACAGAACAACCGCATCCTGAACCTAAAACGCAAAAGGTGAGGAAAGGAAGGAGCACAGTGTGTCAAAGAGTTCTAGTTACAAATGAGAATAAAATGATTGAATTATTATCTCAAATAAACTGTGAAATTGCAAAATGGCTAAGAACATTATGATGGCAGAATATGATGACCTTCCCCTACCTCAATTATGTCTTATTCGACATTGAGGCTAGTTTCAGCTTAATACCATTTAGTAGACAGAACAGTGCCCAATTTAACCACTTAAACATCTTTTTTAATTCCTTTCATTAAACTAAATGAAAACACAATTTGGTATCAAAACCTTTTGGTTGGAGCCCTTCTGTTCTGAAGCTGCTCAGAAAGCTCAGTGTGTCCTTGAGTGTTTGGCCCATGTGTTTATTATGAAGTAGGAAACAGTGTATGAACTGAAGACATGTGTGTGTCCTTTGACAGGCCACCTCTCATGAGCAGCAGTGGGAAGAAGCCCAAATACATTCACCAGATCTATGATGACAAAGTGTGTGTGGAGCAGGTCAGTGAAAAGCAGTCCACAGAGAGATGAAGTGAATCAGTGAGTGTTTCACTTCTTTCATGGTGGATATTGAATATGTGATGTTCTATAAGAAAAGTTTTGTGTCCTGTTTAGTCGTCCGTCAGCAGTTTGAATGGCTCGAAGAGCTCGGACATATCGGATGACGTCATCATTTGTGACTTAACTGAGAGTGATGCTGAGTTGGCGGCTGAGATCACAGAGGGCTCGCCCAGAGCCTACGAGACGGGGTGAGACCTTCACACTGCCACATGTCTGACAGCAGGGTCTGCGGGGGTCTGTACGGGTTTGGGGACTAGTAAAATGGCAGGTTGTTAAACTGGATTACTCCTAGTAAGTCTAGATGTGCATTCACTTCTGGCATTGATCATCCAGAAGCTAAAGATATTCCTTCTGTGGTGTACTGATTAAACACATTTGTTAAATCAGTACACCAATGTAGGAATTTTGCTGAGTTTTGTATTAGCCGCGTTCACACCGCAGTACTTTTCCCACTTTAGTTCCGATATAGTTCTGAAATGTCGCGTTCACACCAAAAAGAGCCGGAACAAAAATTAGTTCATCAGAACCTTTTTTACCCCCTTTTCCGAGTTTTTCGTGTGAGAAACAGGTTCCTATGTCTGATTGGCTGGGCGGATTGCAAACCACGCCCCGCAAAACTCCCAAAAAGTTTTGTGAAGCCGCCATTTTATTATCCTCGCATTAGCATTATTAGCATTAGCCCAGCGCACAAACGCAGAGAGACTAACTTATGGCAACACAAAAGAAAACATGGGAGCGGTGGAGATGAGGTGTCGGCGTTCTGGTGATTCACTCTGAAGGCTTCAGTAGAAGCTGCTGGGAGTCCCAGCAGCTTCTACTGAAGCCAGTCCCCAACTCCGGGGACCTCCGGCCGGGGACTTCGGGTGGCAGTATACGCCGTGAAGTTGTTTGCGGCCTGCCAGTAAACCCAAAGCAGAAGAAGAAGAAGTGACGTCAGCGGCTTCATTTGCCTAATCCTCCCTCAGGGACTTATTCCGGTGTGAACGCGATCTGTACTTAGCTCATGAGAACTAAAGAGTTCTCATGAGCTAAGTTCTGATGAACCTTTGTGGGAAAAGTACTGCAGTGTGAATGCGCCTATTGAATACAACTTTTATGATGCCGTGACATTCTCATCGAAGTAGCATGTTGGCTTCAACAAAACTTCATTAGAGAAAGAGTTTCTGAGAAAAACAACTTAACATAAAGGTTTGTTTGATTTCCTGATTCAATAGGAGTCTAACATGCAATAGCGTTGAGGAAATCCTAACTACACTGAGTTGAACTTAAAGTGTCAGCAGCCAGTTTGTTAATGAAATGCTGTGGAAACTATTAGGGATGTAGAGATCGTGGAGGTGGAGCTGGACAGCTGCACATACCACAGCCCCAGACCAACGGAGGTGGGGGTGTCTTCGGCAGCAGAGGACAGTCAGAGGAGCAGCACGTCAGACTGCACCGGAGCCTCCAGCGGAGCCCCCAGCGGAGCCCCCAGCGGAGCCCCCAGCGGAGCCCCCAGCGGAGCCCCCAGCGGAGCCCTGCAGCTCAACAAAGCGAGCAGCCTGAGTCTGGAGGACCCCATCAAGATGATGGACTCCATACTGAACGAGAGTGGCGCCATCTCACAGAACATCAACCTGCTGGGCAAGCAAGTGCAACCTCTGCTTTCATATGTATTTTTAAGGTGTTCATCATTTGAACGGAAGAATGGTCTGTGCAAATGGAACAAGGAACACACAGTCAACACAATACTGTATAAATCTGTTAATGACTTAAAACTCAGAAATGAGAAAAGCAAGGCCATCATATTACAAATGAATATAATAGGAAATAATACACACAACCCAGATGAACTCTTTTCCACTATAGATACCATTTTAGATAACCCAAGAACATTAATCCGATATCAAGTGTGAGGATTTTGCAGCCTTCTTTCACAACATAACTGTGACTATAAGGACAAATATCCCCCAAATCAATCCCCTACCCTCCCTCCCTCTCAATTCACCACCTTCTTGTGGATCTGAATAAACTAGCAACCAATGTATAATAAAGGAAGTCTCTGATGTTGTAAATGTGAATGTGTCCTCAGGATGGAGCTGATGGACTATCTGGACAGCATCGACTGCAGTCTGGAGGACTTCCAGGCCATGCTGTATGGAAAACAGTTTGGTGTGGATTTTGAGTCCCTCGAGGTAAATTGACATCTCTTGCAAACAAAAGCACAGAAAATATACTTCAAACGACATCTCTGAATGGTTTAATTTAAGCACTGTGTACGCGCTGTTGACAATATGACCGTTTTCACATATTTCCTATATATATAAGTATATAAAAGTAGCTTGGTAATAGATAACTCAAAGGGTTAATATTAATGTGTCAGTGTCACAGACTGACTGTTTTACTAAACTTTAGAGCACTGTGAGAACAGTGAAGACACATGGCCATGTCCGTGTTGTTTTCTGTCCTTTAATCATCCACATGTTATGGTTCCCTTTGTGAATCCTGTTCACTGTGTGTGTTTTCAGGAGAGTTTGTCGAGCACGACACAGCTCAGCAGAGGCAGGGCGGAGGAAGCAAACACAGGTGTGTGTGTGTGTGTGTGTGTGTTGGTGTGTGTGTGTGTGTGTGGTGTGTGTGTGTGTGTGTGTGTGTGTGGTGTGTGTGTGTGTGTGTGGTGTGTGTGTGTGTGTGTGTGTGTGTGTGTGTGTGTGTGTGGTGTGTGTGTGGTGTGGTGTGTGTGTGTGTGTGTGTGTGTGTGTGTGTGTGTGTGTGTGGTGGTGTTGTGTGTGTGTGTGTGTGTGTGTGTGTGTGTGTGTGTGTGTGTGTGTGTGTGTGTGTGTGTGTGTGGAGTTCTGGAGTGCAGCTGTTCTCTGGACAACAAATAATAAAAATGGTTCATAGGGAGTAAATACATGGAGGATGATGTTTCAGGTTGGACACAGGCAGATTTGTTTTACTGGACTCTTGTGTTCTTGTGTTCAGATAAGCAGCTGGTCCAATACACATCATGCCCCCTACTGGCCTTCCTGGATGGCTGCCTCCCTCATGCAGAGCAGGACGTCAGCAGCAGCAGCAGCAGCTCCTCCTTTAACAGCCCTCGGCTCTCCTCCAGCCCCCCAGCTGGTGTGGGGGTGGAGCCCCCCTTAGAGCTGCTAGACTCCAGTGTGGAGTCCAAGCCAACGGCCCGCAGCTCCCTGATCCGCCTGGAGCCTCTGACGGAGGCGGAGGCCAGCGCCGAGACACTCTTCTACCTGTGTGAGCTGAGTCCTGCTGCAGCGGAGGGGGAGGCTCTGCAGGACAGAGTGTGAGCAGGCTCCACACCCTCTTAGTGGCCCTCACTTCCACCTGGGGGCCACCGTGACAAGCAGCAGTTTGTACCCTGTGCACATTTTTGCATTGAAGATAACATTTGAGTTCCAGAAATAGGCCACATTTCCATCAAAAGTTATAATTATAGTTTAACAAATCTTTTAATCACCCAAAGCATGATGGGAAGTGTAGTTTCAAAACACAAAACATTCTAATCTAAGTAAAATTAGTACAGCTGACCTTATTCGGTTTTTAGTTTTTCTTTGTTACCGTGCATTACGAACAACACATTTGACAAACAACACAGACAATAGACTTACTTAATAAAAATACTGCAGTGAACTCTAAAACCGCAAGAATAAATAAATATGAATTAACAAGGGCTGCTACTTATAGCATCAGTGTAATATTGCTGCAACTTGTTCATCGAAATACATTATTATTACTATGAACACTACTTATTATTACCAGTGTTTTCTTCAACGCAATGCCCTGAAAAGTGTGGCTCCTGTGGGAACAGGACACCGCTCCAGTATCTTTAGCATCTGGTCAGCGAAGAAGCTGGACCTTGTTTGTACTCTGAAATATATTTATTCACATTGTTTTTTATCTTTTGCTACGTTCTGTCCAAAAATATTCAGATAGTGTCGTGCTCAAGCTGCGGGACCTCAGCAACATTTTGCAGAACTGGGATAACAGTTAATCGAAATAAAGACTGAACATAAACCAGTTAATGCCGGCGAATAAAATATTTGGGTAAACTTTTCTGTGTAGTAAGTTCATCTGTTATTCTCAGTTTGACGACACCTGTCCCGGTTGTCCAAATAAGGAAGCAGCTTAAACCATGAAAACATTTATTTTAAAGTAAGAAATTCCTAAATCTCCTCCGAACTCCCTGTTCCTTTAGTTGAGGTGAGAAAGACAGAGTGGGGGGGCTGATCTCAGAGCTGTAAATAGTGTCCCTCAGTACGCTCATGTAGTGCAGTTTCCTCTGCTGTTCACTGATAGAAGTGTCCCTTCTTATCTAGCCATACTTCACACGGCAGACTGTTTATAGTTCACTGCATGGCCATGTCTCTGAGACCCGCCCACATCCTGCCAGCTGTCTGTCATTGTTGCTGTTACAATAAAGCAAATGCTACAATGTACATGTGTCCCTGCTTCTATTATTCTATAACCATGTGCAGAGACTTATTGTGTGATTTCCTCTGCGTTGCCAGCTATTTGCTCCACCTTGGTACACCTGCGAACATAAAGTGTTGTGACGCTCAAAAGAAAAAACAACTTACCATATAGGCAGCCCTTTCTTATTGGTCTCCTTAACAGTAAGGTACAAACACACACACACAGCTTCTCCGGCCTGGATATTGCTGGATTCACAATAGGGGCCACATAAGAGGGCCCTGTGGTTCCCCATAGACGGAAACAGCTGCTACTTCTGCATACCTTCATTCATATGTAAGAATGTTCAACTCTTCACAGATTTGTATGCTTCTATTCCTGCCTCCTAATATTAATTCACAGGACACAATGAAGATTTTTCAATAGAACTGCTGAAGTAATCCCTAGTCCCCGAGACTCAGCTTCTGTCAGTGGTAAGGGTAGTTCGACATTTTTTTCTTTCTGTTGTAGGTCTAACAATGCAGGTCTTTTTAGAAATGAAACGCACTGCTTTTACTCAGTTTTATTAAACTGCATACAATATACTTTTACATGTCAAGAGAAAAATTATATTAGGATAAAAGCACAGGTGAGACAATCATACACAATGTGCCTGCTAGGTACATGAGAAACGACATGCTAATGCTAACACTACCAAATAACTTAGAGAAAATTTCAAACAACCAATTTCTATTTTACATTTAAAGTCAAAATGTAACACGAAGCAAAGGAAGCAGGAATGCCTTTGTTGTGATTGTACAAGCTGCAGACACACACACAACACTGCGCATGGTGATGTGCAAGTTAGCTACAGAGATCCACAGCTGGAGTTCTGCTCATACACACCACCATCTAACTTGGTTTACATGTAGTGGCATTCCCATTAGTAATACTGCAGTCAGAGTTCACTGTTACACACAGACAGCTACTGTTAATGTCACATCAGCTTTAAAGGAAACGCATGCAGCTCTGAAAACTTTACAATGGCAACAGCATGGGGAGCAGTACATCAGAGCGTGGGTCAGCAGAGGAGCCCCCCCAGCTGCACTGATGCATGCTGGACTACCTACTGTCCTACTGAACTAACACTGAAGCAGGGCATGGTGGGGGTTTCGGGGGGGGCAGTGCAGTGGCTGCTTCAGTCAAAGTCTCTGTTGACCAGGACCAGAGGAGCCACCAGCGTCCACACATAGAGGGCGATGCAGATCCAGCTGGAGGAGATCTTCACCCACACTGAGGGCCACTTGCTGGTCATGGCCTCGTAGTTAGAGTCAGGACTGCAGAGAGAACACATCACATGACTCACTTAAAGAGCACAACTCGATACAACAAGATTAAACCTCAGTGACGCAGAAATGTGAAACGCATGAGGGCAACTCGCTAATATAAACATGACTTCACCAATGATCAAATCAAATCAAGATTTATTTATAAAGCACATTTAAAAGCGATTTTTGGTCGAGCCAAAGTGCTGTACGTGTAATAAAAACACATTACTACAATCACAATAAAAGACAATAATTTACAACAGAAATATAAAAAACAAAAACACAGGCTAGAAGGCCAGGGAGAAGAAGTGTGTTTTTAGTGTAGATTTAAAAACCCCTAGGGTCTGGGCCGACCTCACATGGAGGGGCAGAGTGTTCCAGAGCCTAGGGCCAGCTGCTGCGAAGGCTCGGTGCCCTCGGGTTTTGAGCCTGGTCTTGGGCACTACCAGCAGCAGCTGGTCAGCAGACCTTAAAGCTCTTGTTGGGGTGTAGCGCTGGAGGAGTTCAGCTATATAGGCCGGAGCCAGCCCATTTAGTGCTTTAAAAACAAATAAAAGGATTTTAAAATCAATTCTGAACCGAACTGGAAGCCAGTGTAGTGAGGCCAGAATTGGGGTGATGTGGTCACGCTTTTTATGGCCAGTCAGAAGACGATGATAACTACAAACATGTTTATTTAGAACACAGGTGTCACACTCAAATCAAATATTTGCTTGGATATTATTTAAAGTGGACCTATCATGCTATATTTGAATAATATAGTGTAGGACCATACCTATATAAGGCATATTTATACTTTTTTTCTTTCAAAATACCAAACAGATCATGCATTTTAGCCATGCCTCATTTCGCTCAATTTGAAAAATGTTAGCTCTGCTTTTGCAAGGGCTGATTCTGTGAGAACAGCACCATCTAGAGGCCTGGCATATGTACTACAACGTCTCCAGCGCTTTCGAACGGCAATGCCGTGGTTGTCTCCTCCTGATTGGTGGAGTTGGCCCAATAGCCGTAGCGCCACCGTCCTGACGTCAGGACAGTGTTCAAATCTGGATCAGTTTTTATCAGATCCGTTGCAGCCCCTTTTTTAGAGATTTGGGTATGGAGGAAAATAGAGAGGGTTGTGTTTTCTGACACTTTGTGAGTTCCCTGGAACACCGGGGACACATATTCATGTAGAAAAGACGTACAAAAGTGCATTTTGCATGATAGGTCCCCTTTCAGTTATTACTAAAACCTATTATTTTATATATAGTAGTCTTAAACTTACAACCGGCCCTTTGAAAGCAACTAAAATGCTAATGTGGCCCGCGATTAAAATAAGTTTGAAAGCCCTGATCTAGCAGACTGAAGGAAGCATGAGCAGTCAGTTCTACAGTCAGTGAGCGGACACCTACCTGTACCAGTTGGTGAGCGTCATCATGATGTAGAGGGAGGCCAGGAACAGCATGAAGTGGAAGAAGGAGTAGGAGTACGTGACTCCATCCTTCTCGTTGTCCACAGCCCTGTTCACTCCCCCCTCCTCAAAGCTGTCAGCCTGCGGCCCGTCCTCGATCAGGGCCGACTCATCACTGGTGAGGGTCAGCTTGTTCACCTGAGCGTTGGACGAGTTACGGATACTGAGGGACAGACGGCGGACAGACAGAGGAAATGGAGCTGTTAGCTGGACAGACAGGTTCACTAATGTGGGACTTTATGAAAGATCTCTAAAGGACCTCCTCACCTGGAGTACAGGACACACATGAGGAAAAGGATCAATCCCACAATCCCCTGGGCGTCCCACCACTGCACCACATGGTCCTGCCCCGCGGGGCTGGTGCTGTTCAGTCCGATGATGCCCAGAAGGCTCGGGTTACACTTCCTATCTGTGAGCAACAACAAAATATTTTCACTTCCTGCTCTGAAGCTAACACACACATGTGTTGGTGTGTGTTTCGCAATAAGTGACACCGACCTGTTTACACGGTGTCCTGATTTCAACGTTACACCAGCTGCTCTGGTGACGTCATCCGTGTGTTTGTTTACATGATATGCATGCCAGATACAAATATATGTGTGTTATTTAACACACACACACACACACACACACACACACACACACACACACACACACACAGCACACACCACACACACAACACACACACACACACACACACACACACACACACACACACACACCACACACAACACACACACACACACACACAACACACACACACAACACACACACACACAGCACACATAACAACACACACACACACACACACACACACACACACACACACACACACACACACACACACACACACACACACACACCTACCAGGCTCGTTAGTCATGGCGGACCAGGTGAGGTACATGGTGTAGAGGGTCACCAGGGAGGACTGCAGCAGGCCGGACCGGGGCTGGGACTCCTGCAGCAGAGAGCAGGCTTCACCAACACCACCCACACACTCACTCACTGGAATATAAGTGCCTGTGTCGCCAGAGAGCCTCCTCCTAGCGCTGCATCATTATTTTTATTGTGTCTATGACAATGATATCTTGATAATGTTTCTCCACCGATGTACAGACCCGTTTCGTCCCTACTTTAAATTAAGATGGAATAGGTTTTCATCATTACAAGCAACCAGGAGATGCTTGCTCTCACATTTTGTCTGATTGTGCTTCAGTGCCGTAGAGCAAGAAAGACAATCTGTATGGAGAGAAAAGTCACACACTCACTGGCAGCAACAGTGTCCGGAGGATCCAGTCAAATAAAATGGCTTTCGCTCTTTGTTAGGACAGTTTCTGTCTGAAAGCTGCTTCTCCTCCAAACTCTAACGTGATGTATTTTGTATTATGTATGTACTGAGTGGACAGACAATACAGAAAGAAAGACACTGCATGCGATGTCATGCAATGTCTCACACTGGTGCTCAGTTATCAGTTATATATTATCCTTTTTTTGATCATCAGATGGGTAATGAAAACATCATTTTGAAGAAACAGAATACGGAACCACAGCATCAGATCTTACCTCAATAAAAAGTTGAAATGTTTATAGGAAGTCCATAATCTTTTGAATTAAACATGGTGTGGGAAGTGCATGAGCAAGAGGTCACCTGGATGTGCGGCAGGATGGAGAGCACGGAGGAGCCCAGGCACAGCAGCATGTTGATGCTGATGAACACTTTGTTCTCCGTGCAGCCGTTAGAGTGGGTGTAGTAGACGTAGAACAGGACCACAGACACCAGAGACATCACGTAGTTTAGAGTGGTGACCGAGAGCAGAGCTGTGGACACAATACAACTGCATTACACACATCAATACACATGAATGACTGCAGTAAAGGGTTTCCATTTGAACATGTAGGTGCAGTTTATCACAGCGGGGTTATCCATGTGTAACAACACCATACCTGCATACCAGCAGCGAGAGTTGCCCTCCTCCATTTTCTCCACCCAGGACTCGTTCCAGGAGTGGGCAAAGTCAATGAGTAACACCAGCTGGATCAGGATGAAGCAGAAGGCTCCGGCCATGCCGATGTAGAACCACACTGAGGAGAACGGAGCGAGAAGACGTCACTACATCGTCACACAGAGATCATGTAGTACCCCTTACACTGCATGAAGACACCACCCTCCCCATACCTGCTCTGAGGCCAGCAGGCGCCAGGACACAAACAAGAAAAGGACTACAGGACTGAGCAATCTTCATAAACACTGTCAACAGTTACTCTCACCTGTTCCTGACATTTTGAGATGTGTGGTGTTACAATATGTTTATACTGTGCACACACTTGCATGCTTTGTTGTTGCATTTCTTTCAAGGGGAAAGGACATGTGAGAGAACTGTTACCCGTAGTGAAGGGGCCTTCTGAGATGAAGAATGATCCAATGGTGATGGCAGCTGCTGCAGCAAACTTAAAGAACCAGAACCTGCAACAACAGGTCTGAGATCAGTACTGCTGAATCATCACCACAACATTCATCAGGTGACTCTGTATACATAATGATGGAGGCCTGGAGGGATGATTTAATGATGGATGGATGGATTTGGGCTCACCCGTTGTGCAGTGCGGCTCGGGGGTCCTGACTGCTCCTGACTTTGACCATGAGCAGGGAGAAGAGCAGGAAGAACATGGCCATGCCGAAGCAGACGCGGTACACAGCCTTATAGCCAACCAGCACATCACAGTTCACATGCCCCTCCACACCAGGGATGGAGGAGCCCATCCCCCCTTCACAGAAACCTGGAATCTGCAGCAGCACACAGCAGGGTTAGCCTTCATGACCAGTTATACAAACCCCCCCTGGAATACTGCTGTTTCTATCATGCAAAGGTGTGGCTTCTCAGAGAAAGTGAGCACAGATTAACTCATGGGAAGATGTTGTGAGGAAACACAGAGTCCTTCATATGTCCTGCACTGTGATCACAAGCTCTCTCCTGTACCTTCTTCAGCTGGCCCTCCATGCCGGGCATCAGCATGATGCAGGCCACAGCTACACCCAGCAGCAGGAAGAAGGCGTAGATCAGGCGGGTCACTGTGGAGTTGTTCCCACTGGGACAACAGCGACTCAGCAGGCAGGGGGCACTGCCACACAGGCAGGGGACCTACACACACACACACGTCATTACTCTCATAGCCAGGCAGATAGACAAGTGTGTGTGTTGGTGTGTTTCGCAATAAGTGACACCGACCTGTTTACACGGTGTCCTGATTTCAACGTTACACCAGCTGCTCTGGTGACGTCATCCGTGTGTTTGTTTACATGATATGCATGCCAGATAAAAAAATATATGTGTGTGTGTGTGTGTTATTTAACGCAGACGTTACGTAAGAGCTGTTTTCCAAACAAAGGCAGGCCCATACAGAGAGCTCCATAACGCACGCACACACACACACACACACACACCACACACACACACACCCACACACACACACACACACACACACACACACACACACACACACACACACACACACACACACACACACACACACACACACACACACACACACACACACACACACCACACACACACACACACACACACACACCACACACACACACACACACACACACACACACACACACACACACACACACACACACACACACACACACACACACACACACACACAGGCTGGGCCTTTGTTATTGCGCAGTCATGACACCATCAGCAGCCAGACACAGCACCACCACCCCCCTCTCACCCAGCTCGCCATAGAGCACAGTCCCAGCACGGCTCCCATGATGCCCGCGGTGTGTTCTGCTGTGAGATGGTGCTGCGGATCTCTCAGATGTGGATGATGCGTCTCCGTCTCCGTCTCCGTCTCCTGCTTCTTCTTCTTCTTCTTCTTCTTCTTCTTCTTCTTCTGTTTCTCTGTGTAATATGCACAGCAGCGCTCTGCTGCCCCCCCCAGGCCGCTGCATGTCCCACAGGCTGTTCAGTGGGTTTTTGGGGGGTCCTTCTTATACTGTATATATAGATATGTATATCTATATATATACCAGTGACGTGCAGTGAGGTTCATGGCTGGTGAGGCACTGACTCTTTCAGAGTCAGATTTACAAATATTATAGCCTATTTTGACCTTAATCGAAATATTCTGTTATTTTCAAAAGCTTTTTTAGTCTGATGCTATGATTAATTTTAAACAGACCGATCAACAAAAGGATACCCAAAATCTAAATATTGGATTGTTCTTTCTAAGTAAGATCCCATTTTCATTACAGTTGTGGTCTTACCTTGACTTGAAGATGAATAGAAGTCCATGCTATCCTTCTGGACAACAATCTCTATTACTGTTTTGTAAAAGTCGTCCTTATCTTCCTGTAGTTTCAAAAGTCGAGTTTGTTGTTTGCGGTAGAATAACAGTAGCAACAAGAACCTGTGGGCTCACGTGCGCCCCCTTCAGTGCGGCAGAGGTTATGGCTGCCTCCCCTTGTGATTTTTTCATTGCCGTTGTATATGTGTAGCGAGCCTAAATATCATATATACGTGAAATAAGTTATTTAGAGACTATGGATGGCGAGGATAAATGTAATAAAGGGATCTACAAACATTACATTGGTGACCTACAGTGAGATGGGAACAGGCATGCGCTTAGGGTTCGCTTTCCAGCCAGTTTCTGTGGGGTGACGCATTCTGAAGTGAGGCAGATCTCATCTGTGCCTCACCTACCCCACAGTAAATGGCTTGAGCGCGCTCACAAAATAAGTGGCCGCGCTAAATTAGTGCCCGCGCTCCAGCAAGTTACTGTGGGCTTACGAGAGGCAGAGCTCGTGCCTGCCTCACTTCTCATCGCTCCCGTAGCGGAGCTCGGCAAATTTGCTGATTTTGACTATAAAATGCGATTGGAATCATACAGAAATCACATTTACACAAGATCAGTGGAGACATTTTATTATTATTATTATTTAGTTTTTCTTTAATTGTTTTTCCGTTACATTGGAGTATGACAGGTGAGGCTCTGCCTCCCCTGCCTCCACTGACTGCACGTCGCTGATATATACAGTGCTTGAATTGGAATAAAAAAGGTGCCAGTACTCTAAATCAGCAACTGTTTCAAGTCAATTTATTTATACAGCCCAAAAACAAGGCTCAAAGTCACATAGTATCCTATAATGCTGGTGGGTTTGTCTCTTTACTGTATATTTTAGAAAGGCTCACTGTACTTAAAGGGCCCATGTCATGGCCATTTCCACTGATCATAATTACATTGTTGAGGTATACTAAAATAGATTTATACTGTGCAATTTTCCAAACTCACATTGGTTTCGCATACAGCATTTCTGTAAAGTATGTGTATTCAGCAGTATTCACTCTCTCCACTAAACGACTCGTTGGAGCTCTTGCCCCCCCCTCCCTGTGAGCCTAGTGTGCTCCGATTGGTCAGCTTGGCCACTCTGTTCTGATTAGTCAACCACCAGAGAGGCTCCGCCCATGTCTAACAGTGCTTTTTTCGGCTCGCTCTCAGAACATCAGTCTTATAATGGCGTCGGTACAGCCGTATATTTTATACGCTAACTAACCGAACTGTACCTACAACTGTTGTTATAGAAGAGTAAGTTATTTTTACCTGTAATAAACTACTACTGTTTGATGAGAAATCAAATCATGGTTTGCTATATATGAATGATATGTTATAGGAGCAAATAATTCAGGGAAGAAAGGATAGGCCTACTAAGTATTTCCATCAAACTTTATTTTTAGAAATGTACAAAATGAACATAAATATACATATATACACGGTATATCATCCATTCCTCCCCGTTGTCGGCATCTTGCCTGGGCGCAGCCGGGGCTTTTTAGGACGAGGCATCAGTGTGGTAGTCCCGTCCCCGTGATGTATTTTCCGCCAGGATCTGGCTGGACGAAATTAAATGCAAATCACAAAATATTAGAGAAACTTAGTTGTTTTAGATTCGTTAGTAGTAGTTGTGGTAGGAGTGTGGATCTATCTAATCCATCTATATAATCAACACAGTAAACTTGCCAGCTAATATGCTAACCTAGCTTTCTTGTTTACCTTAGCAAACACGATATGAACGTTAGCTCGGAGGAACGGCAACTATAATGGAGTGTAATAAAACTACTATGAACAAAAGCTAGTGGTTCATATTAGGCTAGCAATAACGTGTTTATAATTGCAATCTTATACGGGTAGTCTGCTACATTCGGTCATACAATGTTTCCCGCTAGCATGTATAGCTAGCCTCGTTAGCTATACATGCTATCAGCGTCGGAGGAAAGCTAACTGTAATGTACCGTCCTTTGGGGGTCTGTGAGCGGGCAAAGAGAGGGGATTTCCCCGTTGTCTCTGCTGGAAGTGTGAAATAAACAGAGTCCCCATTTCAGGGACACCTCTTGGAGGTCTCTAGGCCGTCCTTTGGGGGTCTGTGAGCGGGCAAAGAGAGGGGATTTCCCCGTTGTCTCTGCTGGAAGTGTGAAATAAACTTAGTTGTTTGATGTTCGTCAGCTTGCCAGCTGGATTACAATGCTAATCTACGTTTGCTAGTTGTTCAATATGCTATACTATACTATGAACAACAGATAGTGGTTCATATTAGGCTATCTAGCACATGTTTACAATTGCAATTTTATATGGGTAGTCTGCTACATTCATTGTAGCTGGCATAAAAAAAATGTTTTTCCGAGCAAACTCATGTCTAGCTCTTAGTAGCCTTGTTGTTTAGCTCGGTAGCATACACGCTAGAAACGACAGCTATATTGTAATTACGTTTCGCGACTGACCGTACGGTAAATCACCTGGAGTATACTGTCTATGAGTATTTCGTGTGTGAATGCAGACATTCTCCTGCTATGAGATACATGTATATAAGGCCATCTGCTGATATTAGAGTTGATATGGAAACGCTAGCAACTTAGTTAGCACAGTTAGCACTGGCTTAGCAGTCCGAAACATGTTTACACATTTAAACAGTCGTGGTAGATACCTTGTTTGATAAATACACAAATAACAATGCAAACTTACAGGTTATGTACCCGAATCTTCCCCTGCTCCAAACGGTCCAAACAAACTAGGAATAGCATCGTCCTTCAGTTTCAAATGCTGTGCATATCCGGCCTCAAACTGGGCAATGTTTTGGAAGCTTTCGTCTGTGAAATGCCGCGCACACAGTAACGTTCTTCGAACCTCTGAAGGAACAGTGTTAAAAAGACATTTCAACCACTGACTTCGTCGTGGTTCTTCCGTCGGTAGGACAAACAGCTCAGATTTCTCCTCACATTTCAGGAAACAGGTCCTTGGCATTGGCATGACTGGATCGATTGTGAACTGAACCAGAGCTTCCAACAGTAAATGTTAGGCTGGCAGAGGGTGCGGCCAGCGCCGCTGGGTGTGGCCATAGCTCTTCGGGATTGGTCCATTTCGTTCCGGGTACCGCATGACATCATGCCGTACCCGGAACTAAATGGAAGAATCAAATGGACAATGACGTATCTCCAATGAGGCGTTTTGGGGAGGTATTTTCTGTGTTAGAGTTTTACTCGCTACAGGGTGTACTTTGAGGGTTTTGACTCTGCACACCGTTTACATGCATAAAAACCTTCATAACACACAAGGGGACGGGTAATAACCGGAAAAGCATGACATGGGAGCTTTAAAGAAAATGACTCAGGGTGCATCTGAGGTGGCATTTTTTAGTTAAATGCATCAATCTGGTGCACTTTGAGAGCAAAATGAAGAGATATATGGATACCTCTCAACATCTGAAACAGAACTGTAAACAGATTTACTTTTTCTTTATGGATATAAAAGAAAGTAAAGCCTGACTCCTACTGGCGGCTGGTTAAATGACTCCTCGTCCCTGAGTACACTCACCATCTTTCAGCAGGAAAGGAGAGAGGGAATCAATGAGAGACGGGAGAGAAGGCTCTGTGGGAGCTAGTGCTACAGAACTTGGAGCAGGAGGCTCGACCAGAGAAGGCTCCCCGTCAGACAACATTTCTAACACAGGCACAGCATTTCTGTATTAGCAGTCGGCTGGGCATATTTGTTGTCATGCGTCATGCCAGCGGCTGAGTACCGGCATCTTATCAGAAGTGCCGGTGTTATGCCGTAGATTGAAGCCTTGCCGTAGATTGAAGCCCTGTTCGCGGGGACGAGCAAAGTGACGTCATCGCCTGTATTGAGCGTTCGCCTCGTTTTCTAAGCGGAAAAACGAAAGATACTATTTACTTTCTCTCTTTTGAATGATATATTTCCCATCAGATTAAACAGCAAACGGCTGAATAAATAATGTGCATACAATTGCGTGGAGGCTCGTTTTAAGGACACTTTTCAGATCTGTCACAATCTTCGTATTGGAACAAACTTCCGTTTTTGAGTCCACTCCATGGGCGTCGCAGCCATTATATGAGGGTGGGACAAGTCCCCCCCACTTTTTCAAATGATTAGTTTAGACCCCCCCACTTTTATTATGCGGAAAGTCCGTGAATCGGTCTATCCACTCGCTGCACTTTGTCGAGCGCTGTGTCAGTGCTTCACTATCAAATGAAATCCATTCCACTTGCTTATTGAGAGAATGCCCAAATCAATGAAACTCCGTTCCATGTTTTCACTGCTACTTTGTACCAAGGCAGATTCTCACATAGCGCGCGCATGTTCAAGGAGTGATGTCATAGTTGGACAGCTCAGATCTGTTGTATGAAGCGATGCCGGTAGCGGAGGTAAGGCACACACACCAAATGTTCAGGAAATGGTTAATACAGCGAAAATCAAAGCTGACGATCTCTTGGTTTGATATGTTTTCTCCCCCAGACAACATGGACATAAGAACATTTTTTTCAAAGAAGAGGAAAGTAAGTCATCAGCTGGTAGCAGTTAATCAGTTAACAGTGATGGCGGTGTCTCACTTCTGGAGAGGAGTTTCGTCTTTATGTCATGATAGAGAGATACAAAT